TTTGTACAGAAAAATCATCAAAATCAAGCATTTATGGATGGATTTTGTTCAAACTTGGTACATATTTTGGATATTATGGGACCTTGATGCACGAGATCTGGTTCCGGAATATAAGAAATGCTTGATTTTGATGATTTTTTAGCACAAAAATGGCCACCATTTGGCCATCTTGTTGAATGTGCAAAAAATGTTCCAGCACTTTAAAAATCGAAATCAAAACATTAAATCTCTAGATTTAAAAAAAATTTACAACTTTTCTATCAAAAAAATGTCAAAAAATCACTATATGATGACAACAAAGGTGGAAACCACAAAAATAAACACGAACATATAGAGAAATAAAACAAGATTTCACCTTTGAAAATTAACTAGAAACTCTTAAGCCAAAACACATGTCATCGATGACAAACCTAAGAATTAATGCACATACACTGCAAATAGAAATAGGAAGATACAAAAATATTGATCTGATCCAAAGAAAATGTTTAATATGCAACAATCGTCAGATCGAAGATTTACAGTGCAAATACTACAACAAGCAGCCTCTCGGCTGAGATAGCTCCGCTGTTAGCAATGCACATTTCAATTAAAGAACTGAAGATATCATTAGAAAATGAACAATATGTATAGTATGTATAGCAATTGGACTTGCTGTTTTCAACAAGAATTCAAAAATATAACTTTTTACTAAAAATGACATCAATATTCATCAAAATTAGATAATTGAAGATGTCATCACGAAATGAACAAATCTGAGAGAGATCCACATGTAGTACCTATATATGTAATATCAAAGCAATTGGACTTGCGGTTTTTAACAAGAAGTCGAAAATATCACTTTTTACCAAAAATTACAAAAATATTCACCAAAATTAGAGAATTGAAGATATCACCACGAAATGAACAAATCTGAGAAAGGTCCACATGTAGTATCTATATATGTAATATCAAAGCAATTGGACTTTTGCGGTTTTTAACAAGAAGTCAAAAATATCACTTTTTACCAAAAATGACAAGAATATTCACCAAAATTTTAAAATTTAAGAAATCATCACGAAATGAACAAATCTGAAAAAGGTCCACATGTAGTATCTATATATGTAATATCAAAGCAATTGGACTTGCGGTTTTCAACAAGAAGTCAAAAATATCACTATTTACCAAAAATATTCACCAAAATTAGAGAATTTAAGATATCATCGCGAAATGAACAAATCTGAGAAAGGTCCACATGTAGTATCTATATATGTAATATCAAAGCAATTGGACTTGCGGTTTTTAACAAGAAGTCGAAAATATCACTTTTTACCAAAAATTACAAAAATATTCACCAAAATTAGAGAATTGAAGATATCACCACGAAATGAACAAATCTGAGAAAGGTCCACATGTAGTATCTATATATGTAATATCAAAGCAATTGGACTTGTGGTTTTTAACAAGAAGTCGAAAATATCACTTTTTACCAAAAATTACAAAAATATTCACCAAAATTAGAGAATTGAAGATATCATCATGAAATGAACAAATCTAAGAGAGGTCTACCCCAGGTACATACACACCAAGTATCAAAGCATTCAGGCTTGTAGTTTTCAAGAAGAAGTCGAAAAAGTAAAACATTGACACGGACGACGCCAACGGACAATCACTCATATGAGAAGCTCCGCTCGACAAAGTCGACAGCGGAGCTAAGAAGAGAGAGATTACCTCTTCGACAAACATACTCTAGGACAATTCTTCTGACTATGAAAATTTGATAAACATACTCAAACTAAAAGATAGACAAATATTAAAATAAATAAATAAATCTATTTACCAGTGTTTTACTACGAGAGAAGACAGTTTAAACAAGTCACTGTTAATGAAATGGACCCCGTTGGAATTCTTGGAATTGTTATTCCTGCCAAAAATAAGGTAATATGCACCAAAAGCATAGTGAAAAATTTGCTGGTCTAGTATCAACAGAAATTGGATGTATTAAATGACTCTTTTAAAATCGTAATATATGGTCAGAAATTGAACAGGATATGCTATTCATGCATTTTTTGTTTTTAATTGAATTTATTTGTCCAGGCTCATGTACAAGTACAGAGATACAAATTACGGAAAGAATCATCATGGACATGTATCTCAACATGTATAATGTTTGCATCAAATTTGAAAACCGACAAATCCTGTCCAAGATACCACACTTAAACAAGCAGCCTCTCGGCTGAGATAGCTCCGCTGTTAGCAATGCACATTTCAATTAAAGAACTGAAGATATCATTAGAAAATGAACAATATGTATAGTATCAAAGCAACCAGACTTGCTGTTTTCAACAAGAATTCGAAAATATCACTTTTTACCAAAAATGACAAAAATATTCACCAAAATTAAAGAATTGAAGATATCATCATGAAATGAACAAATTTGCACATATATCTGTGAAAAAAATGGCGCACAACAAGAGAGCAAGAAAGACGCACACAACAAAGAAAGATACAGAGTGCCAGGGCAAGATCATGCAGTTCACTGATCGGCGGAAGTAGCACAATACAAGATGATGAAACAACTGTAGACGCTGGAAAAATTGACTCTCCAAATAGTGAACCAACTCTAACTACAGGGCTATCAAGAAGCTTAGTAATAGAGTATTGGGTTTTGATGACATTGCAAATATACTTGCTAGAATTGAACAAGTGCAAAAGAAAAAGAATGATCTAGAAGCATCAATCGAGAACACATTTGACGCGGCAAACGAAAACAAAAAGAAAATTACCAACCTCAAACAAGAAGTAGACCGCCTGAAGAAAAGGCTGAACACATCTGAAGAAATAGCTCTACGAAACAGCCGTTACAGGGTACAACCTAAGATTTTATGACGTAGAGGAGAAACCAAAGGAGGACTGTATACAAATTATTTGTGATCTTGTTGCAGATAAATTCGAAGTGGACCCAAAAGTCATCGAGAACGCACGCATAAACCCGACTGACCCAAATCACAGAAGCTCGAGACCACGATCCATCTTGGTGAAATTTATCTATCGAATGGAAAGACGAAAAGTCGCCATGGCAGTAAGACGGGTATTACACAATTCAGGTATCTATATAAAGGAAGATTTGTGTCCAGATTACGAAAAGAAGAGAGCCCTACTATCAATTATGAAAGAAACATACCTAGCTGGTAAGCGGCCACGATTTCAAAATGACCTGCTCAATATTGACGGTAGGGTATACAGGGACAGTTAGAGATGAACTGTGAACTGAACTATGCAAAAACTAGTCGAAATGTGTTGGTAGTATAAAATAAGTGAGCTGACTTGTTTCTTGATAGGAAAACTACCTTAAGTTGTATCATTTCAATTTATAAAATCAAAAGTAAACATGACAGCATCTACGTGCGATTGAAAGATACACACGAGTAGTGAGCATTAACCCTTGACGGTCAGGGGAGTTTCAGGCTATCAGGTTAAGTGGAAAAACGGTCGATTCAATGCACTCCAGTATCCAGCATCTGTGCATGCTATCCTGCCAGACATTTTTGCAAAAAT